TTTTCTCCCATCAAATCAGTAGCTATAGTACAGCACAAGAATGTGGTTTTGTCAAAAATACATTTAAATTATTCAAAAAGTGATTTGCAATTCATATCATTTCAGTTTCTACTCAACAATAATTAAAACCAAAAAATAAAAGTCTATAAAAAAGTATATGTTTTAAAGAGAAATAGTTTTGTTATCAAATCACATATTTATGTTCGTAATCTTATTATCGGATTATCTATTATTAGATACAATCTTAAGCTATTTAATACATGGTAAATAACATAACATGCATACATTCATTCAGTTGTTTGTTATTTTTCATAACAAAATACCAACAAAAAAATGTATGATTTAAAAACACAGACAAAACCACATTCTTGTGCTGTACTATAGCTACTGATTTGATGGGAGAAAATGCATATAAAAATTATTATTAATATTAGTTTTACACGTATCTGATAACTACCGATCCCTTTAGGGCTCATTTGTAAGGCATAACTATTTTGATGGCTTATAATAGAGAAGTATAATAATTATTGCACAACAAATACTTTGCTTTTTTCTCCACTAATAACTAATTGCATATAATGTGTAAATAATTTTCAATTATATTACAAAAAACAGATTATAATTATGACTGAATTTAATAATTATGTTTAGCGAAGAATTAATTGAAAACAATATATCAATAAATTTTATTTTGGTATACATTTTGATTGATTACTTGTCATATTATAGCCAAAACTATTGCTATAAATAATAGTTAAATTTATATATAATTATGAATATATATTCAACAAATTGTACACTAATTATGTATAATTTAGTTTATAATACAAAATACCACTATTTTATTGTGATTAAAATAAACAGAAACTGTTTTATCAGTTATATAACCAATATTTTCTGTCATTTCATTGAAAATAACATAACATTTAACTCATAAAACATACGACGAAATTCAAAACTTTTGCTGATTTCCATGATTTGCGTTATCATTGGTTAGAGATATTACGCGAAAACAGTTGTCATTGAAATTGAAAAACATATCAATTCATAGTAAACACATAATACACTAAACGTCGCAAAAATCATAATCAATGGATCCCAACGTAAGTCTCAAAACAAACCGATATTTATAGCCGATATTTGAGCCCAAATTAACAGCCAATACACACACCAAACACAGGTCGCAGTAATAGTGGGCTCAGTGTGGGTGCGATTGGCCGGAGTGTATGGGGCGCTGGCGGTGGCGTTGGGCGCCTATGGGGCGCATGTGATCGCCAACAAGAAAGACATGTCCGCTCACACGAAGGACGTGTACGAGAGGGCCAACAAATACCATATACTGCACGCGTTGGCACTCCTGGCCGTACCCCTCACCGCACATCCCTGTCTGTCGGGTACTATCATTACGATCGGAATGACACTGTTTTGCGGCACGTGTTATATACACGTATTCACTGGCAGTAAATCCATTATCCGTTTGACACCCGTCGGCGGTATAACCCTAATGATCGGTTGGCTCACTATGGCCTACGTCTGACCGACAAATTTTACATCGATTTTATGCTTTATAACGCCTTTTTTACTTTGTTTATCTAGTTTAACAAATGTTTAGTCAAATATCTATGAAATATACAAATACAAACATGTTTGTTCATATTTAATAGTTTTAATAAAATATAATTAATTTGAAATTGCATTTCCTGTTAAATAGTCATAATATTTGTCGTGTGTTTTGTCCACAAAATTGGTTAATATATTTAGTGTGAGAATAGTTTAAACGAAAAATATTTTAATTGAAAACGATTTTATATTATATTTTTGTACTCAAAATGATTATAAATTTCAATACTTTTAGTACTTGAAAGACCTTCAGAGAAAGACATATATCTGAGTCTCTCTCCCTCTCTCTCTCCCTCTCTCTCTCCCTCTCAACCCTCTATGGCTGCCATATAGATATCGATTAAACAGATCCAATGCTTGAGACAAATATTTATAAATAAAAATTTAATTTTTTGTTTTATTAGCGATTTTTCTCATTAAAGTTTTTTGGGGGACTTCTTTGAAAATGTATTGAATGTGTTTCCCGGCTATTGATTAACAACAAAATAAATGTGCATTTCTTTTATTTCTTTCTATTGAATATATAAAATAATAAATTGTGTGCAAAACCCCATAAATATAGCGTATAGTGTACTGTACACTATAAACCAACCAAACGGTTGTTAATATATATTTAATGGTTGTTTTGTGTGTAAAATATTTTCTGATTTCTTATTTATTTTCATTTATTTCTACTCTTTTTCGACTCTCTCTCTCTCTCTTATTTTTTGGCGCAAAAAAATATAATAAGAAATTTATATTTATCTGAAGAAACGAAGGCTTCGGCTCAGAGTATATCCGAAAAAACTTGTGATCGGTTTTTAATTTCCATTTGTCACGATATATACGTCAACATTTGAGTTACCGTTTAATTAATGGATCTCTCTTTTTGTGGTAATGCTTAGTCTGTCAATGAAAGAGAGAGAGAGAGAGAGAGTCACTTAAATTATTATTTAATAGCTGTTATCATCAGAAAAGATGGAAATAATAATAAANGAGAGAGAGAGAGAGAGAGAGAGAGAGAGAGAGAGAGAATCTGTGGTCTGAGTGTCAGATAGCCATTGAACTCAAACTCAATTAATTGTTACGATTTTTAGTGAATACTAAATTAAGTTGTTTTGCATTTCTAATGAAAGTTATTGTTTGTAAGTAATGGTATGATAAAAGTATCCATTTGCATAATTGTAATATTTTTTAAGTGATTCTTATAGATATTTTTTAAAAATTGTCTGAATTTATAATCATTTACAAAGTAATAATTTATATAAATTTCACTCAAAGTTAATATTATTATCTACAGTATAACAATATGTTATGAACTCTACCGAGTGCTAAATATTGTCATTAAAAAACACTGTCCAGTGTTTGTCTGATCCAGATTAATGTTTACGAAGTTGATTCCGAAGCCTTCGTTTCTTCAGATAAATATAAATTTCTTATTATATTTTTTTGCGCCAAAAAATAAGAGAGAGAGAGAGAGAGAGAGAGAGAGAGAATCTGTGGTCTGAGTGTCAGATAGCCATTGAACTCAAACTCAATTAATTGTTACCATTTTTAGTGAATACTAAATTAAGTTGTTGAGCATTTTTAATGAAAGTTATTGTTTGTAAGTAATGGTATGAAAAAAGTATCCATTTGCATAATTGTAATTTTTTAAGTGATTTTTTTAAAGCTATTTTTTAAAAATCGTCTGAATTTATAATCATTTATAAAGTAATCATTTATATAAATTTTACTCAAAGTTAATATTATTATCTACAGTATAACAATATGTTATGAACTCTACCGAGTGCTAAATATTGTCATTAAAAAACACTGTCCAGTGTTTGTCTGATCCAGATTAATGTTTACGAAGTTGATCATAGTAAGTTTAGTTATTAAATCTTATGTTAGGCTGATTGAATATTAGGTGTTAGATATTATATGATAAGTCATTATACGATAAGAAATGGTTATTTTAAAATTTATAACATTTAATATATCAAACTTCTAATCAAAACCAACCAGACTTTATATTCGCTATAAAATATACATATACTATAAAATTATGACAATTTTTATTTGTTTTACGCATAACTTTACATAATATGCGATAAGAGACATAAAATTTCAAATTTATGAATTCTGGTAAATATCTAATCGCGAGTGAATCTAACAGTGAATAAAAATTCTTGGTATTAAATATTTGGCAATTAAATCTAATCGTCACAATCTGCAGACTTTATGCACTTTATTTTCTAACCAAGAGTCAAATAACAGGCAAATATCAGACACATTGGCCACAAAACAAACCACACAACCGGCTGTCCATTGATTAAAATTAATTATGTTTAGCGTAGAGCACAGGGCGCTCAACAGGACGGCTATGTTTAGATTAGTTGGGTTTCAAACATCGTAAACATAACAATTTGAAACCACTCTTATAAACGTCAAAACGTTTTGAATCAATCATTAATTTTATACCCGAAGAAAAAAATGCAATTATATTAACAAATATATGATCTGTTCAGCGAAATAACGTTTTTTTGTGCTCAAAGTTTTTTGTTTTGTTGGCCATAAAAATATGTTTATAATAAACTGAACTAAAATATTACTAACCATGAGATTCCTTACGATGTTTTATATTTTGTGGTAAATTTATTATTATTTCCATCTTTTCTGATGATAACAGCTATTAAATAATAATTTAAGTGACTCTCTCTCTCTCTCTCTCTCTCTCTCTCTCTCTCTCTCTCAACCCTCTATGGCTGCCATATAGATATCGATTAAACAGATCCAATGCTTGAGACAAATATTTATAAATAAAAATTTAATTTTTTGTTTTATTAGCGATTTCTCTCTCTCTCTCTCTCTCTCTCTCTCTCTCTCTCTAGGAATTTAAGGATTGAATTTCTTGAATTGGGTTCATTTGTCTTTCCATTAAACATAATAAATAGAAATATTTTCCAAATTATATTTAATTTTGATTAAAAACTTTTGTTATTTTTTGTTAATGTAATGAATTGAACAAATATTTTGTCTGTAAAATCATATCTAATTTAAAAATCACATTAAATAGTCTATCAGTGATACAAATATATAAATATTTGCGTTTTATTTTGATTAGATATCAATAATAATTTATCTGCAAATCAAATGTTAATTTGATTTCATTTGATATTTTTAATTAACTTTAAGTAATGATATTTAACAACAAATTCTTTAAGCATTTAAATTGTTTTCTTAATTTTTACACAAAACTTACTGTAAGACAAATCACATTATAAAACATTCAATTTATTATACATTTACGATAAATAAATGCATAGTTTGAAAATTTTAGTAAATATTTAAAGGTATTTAATAAGTAAACACTGTATTAGTGTTATATAAAATAAATAATACATCTCTCTCTCTCTCTCAAAATTTCAAACAAATATACTTAAAATATTTCCATAATTTAAAACATGACCACAAATCAGATCTATTTTTATTTGTTGCACAAAATGTGTCAAACATTTGTGTTTAACAGAAATAAGAGCAAAAATAAAACATTTATCATTTAATGCAAATATATAAATAATTAATTCAGTCGATCCGAAGTCTATGTGAAATGTCTGATAAAAAGTTGTCATTTTGTATGAAAAGATGTCATTTAATTCATTAAATTCACCCCTTTTTTAATTTGCCACTGAATTGGAGCTGTTTTCTGATAAAAACATTTTTAATTTTAGTTTTGTTTTTATCCATTACTTGCCTTTTGATAAGAAATCAAATATTTTCCCATAACTGATGAAATATAATATAAATAACAAACAAAATTTATATAATTATTTTAGTGAAAAAACTTTATTTTATTTATTTCTAATGAAATGAATTGACAGAAAAATTACTTATATATAAAAATATATTAAAATAATATAAAACTTGCAAAAATCAAAACTTTATATAAAATATTGTTTTTAAAACTCGAATAAAAAATTAATTTATATATAAAAATAATGTATGAATACATATAAAAAATAATTTTCAAATATATTATAAAATTAATTAAAAATAATTCACATAAGAATCGTCTCATGTTTTAATATATTATAATTTGTTATATTATTTTGTATACAAAATCCAATATTTAAAATGACTAAACAAATAATATTCAATTTATTAAACGTATGTATTGTTTGGTTTGGTATTAATAAAACCTATTATTATTATTATTATTATTAACAATTATTATAGATTTATATATCAATACAAAATTAATTGAGAAAAATCAGTGCCTTTAATAAAAATCTTGAGCCCATTATAATCATCACATAATTGTTAAGTAATATTCCGTTTGCTTTGAAAAACAAATTGAAAAATATTAAGTGAAATAACATTTTCTATTATATCACAGAAAATGAAAACTAAATATTTTCTCTTTAATTAATAAAACGAAAAAGAGTTGAGTATTTGATTCGCTAATCACTGATAGCTTGAAGTGATTTTCATGACTTAATCTCATTGAGGAGAGAGAGAGAGAGAGAGAGCTATGAAACAAACACAAAATAATATATATCCACTTTTCTGTCCAATTTGAGGTCTAACAGTGATTACCATTTAATTGCTTTTACCCCTCGACTCGAAATCCCCATCCATTTAAAGCCAGTGCTCACAGAATTGTAATTAAAAATTGTTTATTTCATGCAATTTTAGCTGAAAATTAAATCTATTTTAATACTTTTATTAGTCGTCTACTAAAATACCATAACTATAGAGATCTCTCACATGTCTTGCGGTGTCGGGAATTTAGAGCATACTTTTTGGACACCATTTGAAAACTATTCAATCATTTAAATTATGCTAAATTTATAACAATTCTCTATTAATGGAAACTATTTGTAAATAATTATAAAAAAAAGTGTGATTCAAACTATACCTCAACTATACATAAATAGCATATTTATAAGTTTGCAAACGAAAAACAATTGTAGTTTTATTGAGAGAAAATACTTAAATTATATTTGTATTTAACTTAACATTTGTATCGACTCAAGAAAAGCACTATTTTTACCTCAAAAATACATATATCTCTTGTAAAAACATTTGTAATTATATTAAAAAATAATTT